AGAGGGATATGGAAAACAAAAGAATATAATTTACTCTATGGAGAAACAGAATGATGAGGTTAATAGTTTGCAAACATATATGAAAAGTATGAAATCTGAGAATGTCAAGCAATTCACAAAATGTGGTAACATCTTATGTTACGTGAAGAATTAATTTCTAAAACAGTGATTGTGAGGTAATAATCATTTTAATTCTTCTTTTATATCAAAACACAAATAATGCAATATTAAATTTTACTTGAAGTGTGTGTTAATTAATAATGACATGACAATGTGACACAAAACGTATCACATTGTCATACATAATTTATCACCGCCCCATAATTATAATGGTTGTATGATGGCCCCATAAGCACAATTATATACGATCTATACTCGTATCCTAATTATTCCTGAATTCCACTCCACCTGACACGTTCCCCGTCTAAAATCTTTAATGGAGTCGAGGTACAAACGTCATCAACAGCCTCTCCAACCTCTCATCTGTGGTCATGCAGGAAAAAATCCCTAATAACAGAGTAATTCTCCTCGCTCACATAATCACCAGGTATGACACACAGAACAACAAAGCTGCGACTGAACGGGACACGCACAGGGCCACCAGGATGGACACAGTTTTGCTGTTTTGCTTATTATCTCAATAGTCAGATGTTTTGGCACGTGCTTTGAGTTTAGGGTAATTTGGCTAAAGAGGATAATCACTGTGAATTTAAAGCCCAGAAAGAGGAGAGAGGCTTAGTCGTGAGAAGCTTTTAATAAATGAAACTGCCCTCTGGCTTTTCATTTGACATGAGAAATTGTGTTTGAGAGAGTACCAATCAAGCAAGTGCAAAAGAATAATTTTCCAGTTGTGAAAAGTCTGATCCCTCTGGTAAAAGTCTAAAATAATTTGATTTGTCTCTCAGCTTTCAGCCCAACACAGACTCCAGATACTCATGATAGCAAATAGGAAGTAGTCGCTGAAGAATCTAATGAGCGAACATCCTTTTCTCATTGTCACTTAATTCTCGGTTGATATCCGTGCGATTATTGTGACTAAAATCAAATTCTTTTGTCACAGATTTTTCATCCTGTTTGGCCGATGGTTTACTAAAGCGCACACAATGTCACCGAAACCAGTATTCTGGAGGGGTGCCCAATAATCATAATGCTGAGCTGGCTTGTTAACACAGTCAGCATTACACCCACAGGTCGTAACCTCTGCTCAGTTAAACCCAAATATCTAATCCAGCAATCTTTCTAATGTTGTCATTGTCACTTAGGACTCATTGCCAGAAATGCTCCCGACGAGCCGGGACTTGCAGAGGTTTTAGGAAAAGCCTGCTCTTCCACCACCACTTTATAACGTGTTAACATTCCTTTGTAAGATGGAGTATCACCTCATGGAGAAGACACTTCCTGTTGCATGGTGCAGTATAGTCATGAATATGTCCCGTTCATCTCCTTCTCCTACCTAACGTACACACATTCTTCAGTTATTACAAATGGATGCTGGTCTGTTTGGTTTCTTAAAATGGGCCTGGCAGTTATTAAACACACGGCCATGCTTGTCACTAACGTTCATGCATTCCTCTAGAGATAGTGGATGGCGCCCACGTATCATAAGGAGCAGGCACGTGTGTAAGAAATTATATTTTGATCATAGTAAACATGAAGTAATCATAAAATGTATCATCTTTTCAAGTGTATTATTCTTTAAGGTTGTAGGATAATGTTCATTTTCTGGGTTGACGAAAATGAGCTGAAGGTAAGAAATGTAAATTACAGGATGCCAAAAAAGCTCCCTGTCACTTGTAAATAAGAGTCAAACGCATAAAAAAAAAACTGGTGCCTCAACTGGGCGTCAGAGGTGTAAAAGTTGAACAAACTCAAGAGATGTCAAAAAATGATGAAACTTCTCTGTAACCTGAAGCAAAACAAAAGATAAAATAGAAAGAAAAAGCCTTTGACTCAGTTTTCTTTATGACCTCTAACCTGCAACGCGCACAGAGAAGGTAGGTTGTATTGGAGGAGAGCTGAGACAATAAGTCAATTTAAATATTAGTCCATCTACAGAACATTAACATTGCAATTTTGATAATCAACCATTTACATCATTTTTTTTAAGAAAGAAAATGAAAAATTCATGGGTTGCAGTCTCTCAAATGTGAATATTTTGTCCATGATAGTGAATTGAATATCTTTGGGTTGTTGGACAAACCAAGACATTTGAAGACATTTACTGACAAAATGATTAACTCATTTATCACAAAGATCAATTCTTTAAAAAAAAGTCATCGCTAGATGGGCTGAAACAATTGCTTAATTCAAATGAAGTGATTAGTCCATGTATCTATAAAAAAAAAAAAAAAAGAGTAGCGACTGTTTTGATAGCTGATTGTTTCAGTAACAATGCAAAACATTCATCGCTTTTCTTATTGTAAAATTATACAAGTCAGACAAATTAAGACATTTGAAGACATCACTTTGGGCTAGATATCACTATTTTCTGATATTTTATGAAAAAAAATAAAGTTTGAACAATTAATCAGAAAAATAATCAGTAGATTACTAAGTAGTAATACTAGTAATTAAATGAACTGTTAGTTGCAGCCTTAAAAAGTTCAACTTTTGTGAGATTTGCCTCTTCCATTGACTCATCCCTCCACACATCAGCCTGTTAATCAATTCATTCTTCCAAAGGGCCTTCAAAGCTGTCCTACTGGGACACATGCACACACATACAAACACATGCACACACAGTGTCTGTCCCTTATGCAGGATGACCTAATGTTCTGAGGAAGGGACACACTTTTATCTGACAGGACCTCTGACCCTGCATGCTCTCAAGAAGATGACAAAACTTCTGCAACCTAATTAAATTTTTTTTATCACATTTAACTTTTACTATCATGAGGTATAATAAATGTTTATAGGAGCATTGTGAGGGCATGATCATTAAAATTGCTTTATTTATTTTTAGTGCATTAGCATATTTAATTGCATAAAAGCACATTATATATTTCTGTGATGATGTTTGTCTCTCAGTTGTATTAAATTGTATTGCATTACATTAAATCCACCATAAACAATTTTTTATTAACAATAGACAACAAAAAAATTATACTTATTGTGTTAACGCTGTAATACCTTTGTTTGCCATCATTACATCCCTGACACTTTGACTGAAAAGTTAATTGAAAGGTATATTCACCTGGGACTAACATGATTTGTGCTTCATTTGGTGAAGTGGAAAAAGCCATCCACCTGCATACCTTCACACACATCTTAACACCCTAAGGAAGAGGCACCTGTTCACCATCTACTTACCTCCCCCCAGACACAGTCTGTGGGCTGTAATCAGTGTCTGTGTGATAAATATCTACGGCCAACAATGCCACGTCTCATTCCAACAAGTTGTGAAGGACAATCTGTGACAGCTGTGGTTTAGAATTAAACATATTATACAAGCAAGACCTGACTGTGATTCATCTGAATAACATAAACAAGTGTTCCTGATTACTCTTTTTCTGGCTAATGGTAGAAGATAAAAAGGTAGTGCAACTGTCACTGGATGTCACAATGACCTCAAGAGCTGTTTGAGCTCTGAAGAGGAAGGAGAGTGCATCCATTTCCAAACAAAAAGCATTCAGATGTATCTATAAAAATGCATCAATCTGATGCAGTTCATCTGACCATCCACAGCAATAATCATCAGGTCATAGCTCTGAGCAAATAACAGCTCAAGACAAGCTCCTGGGACATACCAGTCAGAAATAAAAATAAAAAGGTGGAACGTTTGCCAAAAATGCATGGCTTGGTTTCTCCAATCACTTTCATGCATTTAGGAATTAACAGTGTCAGCTAGTTGCAAGAAAAGAGCTAAATTAAATGACAATCACACATCAAACGAAAACAGCAAATTTGCACAGGAATGTCTCGGCTTTGATTTAAGCACAGTGGGACAAGCTGGTGGTAATCCCCTGGCTGTGGTGTTTCACTCCCTCTGCCGGTTAGCATAGGGAATTAGAAGAAAGAATGTTACTGTATATCTGAGTGTGTGTCAAAAATGCAAGAGCTCATTTTGTTGCCTGATGTCAAGTTCACGTTATCAAGTGAACATATGACAATGTTAACTTAAGTTAAATCTTGTACATTAAAAATCAGAGACACTTTGTTAAACTACAGCTACTGCACTTATTTGAATGACTCATCAGTTGCTCACATGATTTCCACCATGTTTTTGACATGGGAGAAAAAATGAACTCTGCTGTCTTTTAGCTCACACCCTTCATTGACCTACCTTTGTTTTTTTTTCCACAGCTCCTGTTATAGAAACACTGTTGCTGACGTACTGTTGCCATGTCCCTCCTTCACTGCTGCAATGACACAGAGGGAAGATAAAACATACCATCAGTGTTAGTCAAGATTAATAGCATGATGCCATGGTGACATGGTCATAATCATGTATTTTTCAGGCAGAAGAAGGGTTGCCTATAATCATTTAAAGATTCAGTTTTAGAGATGAATGTGTTCAAGCTTATATGTCACCTAATTCATGAACATGTAGTCGGGTTGTAATGGATAAATAACAGATAAATTTTAAAAAATTACGCTTAGATTGGCATCTGGCTAATGGTCTAAACTGGACCCAAGAATTTACTGGCATTTGAGCAGCATTTAAACTGATCAATATCCTCATCAGCTGTAAATGCTCTTGGATCAATCACAGCTCAATGGGGCCGTCTATTGTCCTCAGGTGGTACTGCAAATTACAAACAAGACTAGTGCAAACAACAGAAAATACAATGGAGATTGGGGAATGAGTGTGAAAGTCAATCCGGTTAATTAATCATATAAAAAAAGAATTTAAACATAAGCCATCAGCTGTTCCTGCTGTCTACTGATTTATCAACTTTCAAAATAAAATAAAAATCGTCACCGACCACGGTCACGTGATTCAAGCGTAACATGCGTCTTGCGTCAGAGCGTAGCCCAAAACAAGTGCATTCAATAAGGAAGTGAGGTGCTTCTCGTCCCAAAAGATGGTGTCTTCCACAGCGTAGAGACAGATAAACAAAAAATAAATGAGAATTAGATACATAATGTCGAATCGACGAGATGAAATATCTGGCATCTGAATATCCGGCGACTGCAGATAATTAATAAACTGCCTCTGAAGGCGAACGGGATGGATATCAGCAGAGCCGACGGAGGCTCCTACACGGTGAGACACATCAGCTTATACACAGTACTTTACTTTTCCATTGTCTGTTAATATGTTAATTTTTTTCTTCGCGTATTGGGGTTTAAACAGTTATCAAGAGGTTTCAAGTAACTTATTTTGTGTATTATCATGTCTAAAAATATCATATTAAACCAAAACTTTGCTAACCGACATATTAGAGCGCTGTGGATGCCGGGTGGACTGATGGTAAACAAAAAAAAAATGCCAAAACTAACTTTATTTAACCTGACTGAATTACATCAATGTTTTTTTTCTTTAGGACAATCTCATTGGGACTTTACTTGCTATTTTTGGAAATGTGCTTGTCAGCATCTCGTTAAGTATTCAGGTAAAGAGCTCATTACTTTACAATAACTTCCTTCAATGTACTTCCTTTGGTGTCAGCTATGTCATCCAAGCATCCTCATAATAACAATAATTATCATGTCTCCTATATGGAATAGTTTTGTTTCTCTACTCTCTGTGTATCACTTGCTTTTAGGTCAGTACTCTATGTAAACATAGCAGGAAGGTCACATTGTTAGAATAACCCTTTAGGGCTATAGGCTGTCATTACAGTAGCATTATCAGCCTTAAGTAGAAGCCTTTATGGATGAAATGATATACAGTCATCACCTCGTGATGATTCATCTCTGTCATTTTTTATTCATATTGCCTGTCCCTTCTGTACTTCTGATTTACAGTATCTCTACTGCAAAACCATTTGACCTTGTTTGTTTAGTTTAAGTCTTATATGTTTGCTTTATTTAAGTTATATGTACTGCAGTAAACTCTCTCTTTACCTTCTGTCAGTCACTGCTGCGTTTTACCTAAATGCTTACTTACTACAGAAATACAGCCATGTGACATTAGCCGGAAAAAAGGACCCGCGTGTCTTCTACCGCACTAAAACCTGGTGGTGTGGTTTTGTCCTGACCTGTCTCGGGGAGGGTGCAAACTTTGTCTCTTATGCCTTTGCCCCCCTCGCTCTCATAGCACCTCTCAATGCCGTGTCTGTCCTGAGTGAGTATTTTTAATACTATTCTCTAATATGTTGGTGGTGATTTTGATGGAGATAAATTAGTATTATAATTTCAAATTTATACATGAAGTAATTTACAATAACACTTGCATTATGCTTTTCTGTCCATTTTCAGCAAGCTCAATTTTGGGTCTTATTTTTCTGCGTGAGAAATCTAAGCCAAAGGAATTTGCAAGTAAGTCGAGCAGATGTGTGCGACCGAATATGTGCAGTTGCACTGACACTCATATGCAAATAACATGAAATTCGTGCCATTGTATGCAAATTCATCAGTAGCCTCACAGCACTTTGCAGACTACATGCTGCCTCCTCAGCTCCTGTATTGATTGAAATTACAAAGCAAAGTCAAAAAGTTTGTCCATGCACAGGACCTTTTAAAGCAAAAGCTGCACTCTTTCTTGTGCCCCAAAAAGTACTGTATCTTGAGTTTGTCTGTGATATCTGAAATTTCCTCTACTGTGTTATGTTTTACTTAATATCCAATTCTCAGTATCTGACTGCTTTCCATTGGTTATATATTGTATCTTTTTTCAGAGCAGTATGGGCTGCCCTTCCTGGGCTGTGTCCTAACCATAGGAGGAACGTACCTCTTTGTAGCATTTGGACCAAACTCTCATGAAAAACTCAAAGCGGAGAACATTGTGAAGCACATTGTCGGATGGCCTGTTCTCTTGTATCTGGTAAGACACAATCACTCGCTGACAAAGTTCAGAAGCAACAGGCTCTATAAACATTTCTCATTCTCATTTGTTTTCCATCGTCCAATCTGCTGTGTTCAATTTCCAACCCACACTTGGTAAACATGGCATTGCTAAATAGCATATTAAATATACACATATTGTATGTCCTGAACATGAATGAAAACTGCAACATCCTCTTAGACAGTTACAGTAATGTTACAAATATGTGTCCTACAAAATGCAATTTCTCCACACCCACTGTACCCACCGTTTATATTCCATCAATATAACGCTAGACAAACATAACAAACCTGCAGTACGGGTTTGGCGACTCATGTTCTATTTTTCCAGACACTGTCAGAGGTGTTCATTTAGGTGGTTTATGAGGCTGTATTTTGTCATGATAGTAAGAGAACATCTTGTGCCGTTGAGTTCAGTGTTGGTGAATGCTGTTAGGCATTCATGTCTTTTCACCTTGCATGATTGCAGGTTGTAATTGATCCAACTGACATTCAGACAGTGACTCCTTTGAATCACAATTACAAATGCACCTGCACAATGAGTCATGTTAGGTGAAACATCAATTTCACTCTCTTATTTAATAGCAAGAGGTAGAGGTCTGTAAAAAACCATGAAAACAGAGTACACTAAAGAGTGGACAGCTACATATAAAGTGACTGTCAGGTTAAATCAGCTCCTCTGACACATTTTACTCAATTGGTTTTTACTGCATGGCTGCTGTATTGTACAGTATGTTGTGTATCTGTTGTTGATCTATATTATTTGGTCTTCCCCCGTTTGGAACAAATTATGTTTCACAAACTTGCACTGAACACAGCAAATTTCCCGGGCTTCTTGACTTGTGTTATTATTCAGCACAAATGTTTGTCTCTGGCTGTGAGATTAATTGTACTATTATAGAACCAAACTGTGCTTCCTGTTTTGTTTATTTGAAATTAATTTTGTGTTTATTGTTGCCATTATCCTTATTGACAGCTCCTGGAGATTATCACGTTCTGCCTGCTTCTATACTTCTACAAACAGCGCGGTGCTAACTACCTCATTATTATTCTGCTGCTGGTCGCTCTACTGGGTGAGTCCGTGGCATTAAAGCCAGTCAATTTCATACTATCTATAAAGTCGAGCTATTACCATACTTTAGTGGAATACATTGCCACATTCTGAATGCTCAAAAAAGCACCTAAGCTGGTGGTGAAACAATCTTTAGTCCCGTGTTGGTGTTGTGCTTAACTGTACTTTTGTTGGTTGGTGCACAGGCTCTGTCACAGTCATCACAGTGAAGGCGGTGTCAGGCATGTTGGTACTCACCGCTGAGGGCAGCATGCAGCTCGACTACCCCATCTTCAGTGTCATGTTTGTGTGCATGTTGGCTTCGGTGGTCTTCCAAGCCAGGTGAGATACTGGAAGATTCAAGATGAAGTATGAAACGGGGGAGAGTGTGGTTGGCACGTGTGAGGTGCCTACACGGTGTTGTCAACAGGATGTGATAATATAGAATAAAGATACATACATTAGTTTGCTATTCAAGTTTTTATTCTTTACTCCATGGGTAAGTCATGGTCTTTCATTAAGTTTTCTTAAATCCTCATTGTTTACTATTTTTTGTGTGTTATTGTCTTCTTAGGTTTCTCTCCCAGGCTTGTAAGCTGTATGACTCTTCTCTGATTGCCAGTGTCAACTACATCCTCTCCACCTTCTTCGCTGTGGTAGCTGGTGAGTTATGGTATTCTTTATCTGGGTTTGCCCAGACTGATTCTCTGCTTTGACAGGCAGTTTTCAATTGGACATGGAATAACAGGTGAATAATAGGTGAATACAGTTTGCTGCCTAGCAGCATAGAAAAGAAGCAATACTTTTGGAGCCTGAAAAGCATTCTTAAGAGTCACAATATGGAGGTCATGAAACATTTTTTATCTCTCTCTCTTATCTCGCTCCTCTCTGGTTTTCAGGAGCTGTGTTTTACTTAGAGTTTAAGAATGAAGACGTCCTTCACATCTGCATGTTTTTGTTGGGGTGAGTGCAATGCTATAGTAAACATAGAGAACAGATTTGCTGGGAACATGTGATGACTTCCCTTGAAATATTGTAAAAAGATGTTGAGCTTTGTGACCTTCTTATGCATAAAAGCTGCAGCTGATTATTTTCTGTTTGGTACAGAACTGCATTGTGTTTCCTGGGGGTCTTTCTCATCACCAAAAACAAGAAAAAGATAAAGACCTTTGAGCCGTATGTCACTATGGATATGACTAATGGTTTGTATAAACTTAACTTAATTACTGAAAAGCTTTAGCTTTAAAGCCACACAGAGCAAGATTTTTTAAATGGAGAAATATCTTTGTCTTATAAACCCAAATCACAAAGTGCCTAGTGTAACTTCAAACATAAAGTACAGGGATCGTGTGAGATTTTAAGTCTGCAGTTGTTTTTTTGAAGTTATGTTGAGAACTTTATCCTACCTGTCCAGGTGTCCCAACTATTCATGACAAGGGCCTGGTGCTTCAGCCAGACTTCAATGGTTCATTCTCCTACGGGGCTCTGGTCAACAACGATGGAGTGGCTCCTGTGACTGTACCAGTCAACCTGGAACAACCGCCAGTCGGCTGCAGATCCACTGATGCATCTCACGGCCCGCCTGACCTGAAGAAAGATTAGAACCAAAGGGGTTTTTTTTTAGGTTTTTTTCCCTCTGTTACTTCATCCAACTATAAACAACATTCAAGGACCCTGAAAGACTAACAGGGGTACGTTCAGTTCTTTTCACGTATACACAAGACTAGTACCCATCCCAGTAGGAGGTGTCCACTGGGTTTTTTAGATGCTCTCTTATCACCTAACACTCCTCACCACATCCTTTCCTTTTTGAAATCTCTAAACCAAAATGTGACCTTGAGAAGCTTTCCTTTCTTGAGAAGATGTCAACTGTTGTAATTCCAAAAAGAAACTTGAATCGTCTGGATGTTCTGGTGGATTCACAAACGTGGCTTCAGGAATATGACAGCAGAGAGTGCTTTGCCTCGAAGCGTACTGCCTTGCACCCTGTGTTGGCTTTGAGATGTATAGTAAGGACTCACTTCCACGACTGTTAAGCTGTTTTGTTCTCATTACAGGGGAACGTATAGTAATCTGTTCTTCCAGTGAGGATTGTGAAGTTTCTCCTCACTTCCAGGTTCCAATAATATTATAATGTAGGTGCGGTCTTTTTCAGAATACTTGCCAATGAACATTTTGACTTTAAATATCTAACTGTCTGTCTTACATGAACGGTTTTCACTCCAGCTATCTGCCTCTTGTACCTGGGATTTCATTGTATTATTGCTTTTCCTGATGTGACCAAACAACGGGTACAATTGTTTTAATTTATTGTAATGTATTTATTAATTTTCAAGTTTGCTTTTAATGTGCCTTGAAGACTAGCTTTACACTGGATAAATTACTGTAAGGTGGTACATAACCCACGAAGGTGAGTGATTAATCACTGTCGTAGACCAGTTATTCAAAGGCAGCTGTAATCTGTCAGTGCCTGTTTGAATCAAAATAAAAATCTGAATTCTGGAAATGTTTTGGAAAGGAAGTGAGAAAAATGAAATTACTAATAGTGTACAATTAGTTAAGTGTGAGTATTAAAAAAAGTCTTCTTACAAAAGGTTTAAATTTTAAAATAACTGGAAGATAGTCATTCCTGATGACAAACAAATTTAGAAATAAAAATCACAGTATGTAGATAATGTTGCCCAATTACTATGTTTCTTTCTGGTACAATGTATTTCAAAAATAACCTCATTGATTTTTTTTTTTTTTTACAAGCTGAAAGATGATGCTGCAATAAGTGAAACATCCATGTATACCAAACTTAAATTGTCCATAGCTAATGAATGGCTGCATAAATTGGGATACGTTTACAGAGGTATCTTCTCCACATGCAGCACTGCATTTCTACAGTGTTAATGAAGCAGAGAGCTACACAAGAGCTGTATGCCTTAGCACAGTATTCAGTACATGGTTATTTTGATGATATGGCCTGTGGGTAGTCACTGAAATGCATTGTGTATATAAGCTCATCATTAACACCACTGTGTAAACCAACTGAAGACTGCCTGTTTATCAATAATGCCTTCTAATGAAGCAGGAACAGCTGTAAAAGTCAAACTCTCATTGTAAATTATATGCAATCTTGTGTCATATAAAGTTCATGTAATCCAGTTCTGTTGTATTTGGAGTAACACCTCATGTTTTTGGTTGGTCATATTTTACAGAACATTTGCATAAACTAAGATGAATTGTTTTACAAAAAGTTTACCATAATGTTAGAACCAGATTTGTCTTTTAGTCTTGATAATATTTTGTTGATCAGTGTTTTTGGTTTTTCTAAATCCGCCAATTTTGAAAACGACTTGGGCCTAGTGCTGGCTATGAAAGATGATCCAAAGCCTGGTAGTCACTCACCAGACAGGGCCTGGGTTTTCTGGTGTTACTAGTTATTTATTTGGTAAAAAGGTCAAACAATAAAAGTGACAGCATATAACAGATTACAGCTATGACCTGTTCAATGGATCATTCTATCAGAAGTAAAGCCTCGCCCTCTTTGGAGAAGGGTCAGACCTACTTCAACTGCACATCACAGCCCCCACAGTGAACTTTACTGCTAGCATGATCATCTGTGTGTCTATGGAAAGTCTTAAGACTTTGTTCTGATGGCCAAAAACAACACTTTGATTCATGTAGCGGTGTTTACAATCCTGTAATCCAGTGTGCAATTTGGTGCGTGAAAACCCCCACTGATCCCCCTGGCTTCTTCGTTTTGCTTGGAAAAAAAAACAAAAAAACTGAGGAACTAAAATTGAACTTTAAACGATTGCACAGTCGAAGAAGTCCCTTATTTTGTGTGTGCAACAGGTGGATCCAGAGAACTGAGCTGTAAGCCACCCACAAACATTAAATATAAGCATAGATATTACGTAGTGCCTCATTTAACGCAACAGGTGAGTCAGTTGATCCTGATTTGGCTGTCCGACGTCGACTATCACATGAAGCCACAGTTTGCTGCTTAATCGCCACCAATCTTGAAGCGGAGCATCCTCCCCCTAGCTGCAGCCTCATTGGTCGCTGCGAGCCTCCGCCGGCATTTCATTGGTTTTACCTGCGAGTCTTGACGCTGGAGTAGGCTGCATTTAGATAGTGCCCAATAATCCAGTGATAACAAACAAGGACTTGTCTGACAGCGGCCTAAAAAAACAAACAAACAAAAAAAAACCAAAAAAAAGAACAATAAAAACATATCAGACCAGCTTCAATCTGATTAAAGAAAGTCACCTGAAAAATCCTGATTTTACTCCTCGTGCAATGGCTTGTGTCGGCCGCTTTCACTGACAGTAGTGAGGTGAGTGATAATTCAGACAAGAATATTTGCATTTGAACCGCTTAAAAATTGAAATTAAAGCAGTAACTTCATCCGCGTGAGCCTTGCCGTGTCTCTGTGGCAACTTTCGTACCAATTTCCTTCGTGTTTTATCTTGAAAACAGTGTTTAGCTTTGGACACACGAAAGAGAGTGAGTGTTACTGTTGTGATAAACACTCGTGCATGTTTTTGTCTTTGTCGCGCGAGCCCTTAATGCAATGTCCAGGGGTTTCCTTGAAGTACACGCAGTGCACATTTTGTTGTCACGATCCTCTACGGCCTATAATGCTGTAGACGTGATGTTATGGTGTCATTGCCTTCGCGTGATCTGTCATATATCTGACAGATATCAAAGTACAGGAAGATACAGTATATAATCAATATCTATACTTTATTATTCCTCCTAAATGTTTGACATCCGGTTGATTTTTAGATGTTAATGTGGTTTAAATATTGATGATAATCGTGATTCGATCATGTCGACCTGTAGATGGCACTCTATTCTCAGTATGAGTGTTGGTCTCAGTGTCTCAAGAGTAGAAGTTTCATCTTTCAGGGTCAGGGTTTTTCTAACAATTGTCTTCTATATGTTCCATGTTATACGTTTCCCCCTCCCATTTTCTTCGTTGTATACCTCATAAAATGATTAGATCTGAAACATTTAGTCGACTAATCGTTAATTCAAACAGCAGACAATGAGTCAGCAGCTACTTTGATAGGTCATTTCAAACGTCAATTTTGGTTTTCTTAGCCTTCTGTCTTGGTAACCAAGGATTTGAACTGCTGCTTGGACAAAACGAGCAATTTAAATACGTCACCTCGGGATATGGGGAATTATGTGTGACATTTTTCACTGTTTGACATTGTACAGACTAAACAATTAATTGCATGCATACATATAGTCACTATCAGCTTGTCCTATGATATTCACGATCAGTTAAAAGTGTGTAAGTAAAAGGCAGATAAATGGTTGAATGTATCATTAGTTGCAGCCCTAAAAACGTACATCATGAATTTATCTTCAGGTTTGTTGGACCGATGTTTTTGAAAGTGAAGCTGAAGCTTATTTCTAGTGTTGTTTGAGCCATTTCAAACATACAGTACCTCATGGCATCTGTGAAAGCTGCCTCTCTAAAGACCTCGACTGGGAGCAGGCAGATATAACTGAATCATGAAAAAAGACAAGATATTTTAATAGGAAAACCAACCTACAAGTATTTTTTTGCCTCATCTTTGCTCCTGTTCATCATTATTTCCTCTTGTGATCTTTAACTGTCACCTTTTCCTTCATCATCCTTCTTTTCCCTCTTCGTTTCTCTCTTTTATCTATCCTACAGCCTGTGTAGTGTCATCACTGACACTTTAGTGCAACCCTGTAATCTTCATGTACCAGTATCTCACTATCACCTCATTCTGTCCGCCGTTTTCTCCAAACATCCATCCGGTATATTCCCCTCATCTCTCAACTTTCAATCTGTTAACTTCACCTCTCCGCAGTTCCAGCCTCTGTGGTCCCCATCTCCCTGTCAGCAGTCTACCAAAAGGCTTCAGCATGCTGCGAGAGAGCTCCAAGGCGTGGAGCAACGGCTCAGAGGCCTACAGCAGCGATCCCGAGGAGGACGAAGAGGAGGAGGAGGAGGACATGGTGTTTGGGGAGAACAATCAGGACGGCACGGCGGAGGAGATGATGGATCTGAGCGACCTCCCCACAGCTCTCTTTGCATGCAGCGTCCATGAAGCTGTGTTCGAAGAGGACGCGCACAGGGTGAGAAGGAGCAAATTCATTCCCTGGGTCATATTTTGAATGTGTGTGTGTGTGTGTGTGTGTGTTTGTCGGATGGTGTGCCAGTCTTTGTACTCTCTGAGTCATCCAGCTGAATGTGTCAGAGCGTCCAAGATTCAAGGCCCAACAGCACGTGCATGATGTCATCCGCAGCTTTTGCTCCTGTCTGTCTAAGTCCAGTCATGGTCTCAAGCTGCGCTGCTGATTGCTCAACCACAAAGGCACACACACACACACACACACATATGCACACCTGATGCTGTTATTTATTCGCCAGGGAACATGAATACAAGGCAGTGGATTACAATATGACTTGCACAGAATCATGAGCCATAGTCCATGTGCCTCTGCATATCATTTGATCATCACCTCATGCACTGTGTTATTTATGCCCACTTATGCTGACAGAGGTGGTTTATACAGAAGCCCACAAACACATGTTGCGGACATCAAATACACTTACACGTCTGCCCATGCACACACTTATTGGATATATTCTGTTAAGGTCTCTCTAGGATGTGTAGAGTCTCTCAGTCCCAGCTTTATCAGACTCATCAGAGCAATGGTACGTGGATCACTGGATCCTGTTTGCTGGAGGAGGATACAAAGAAAATACTTTTAATTTTCTGCCCCTCTAATCCAATTACGGTGTCCTTCCAGCTGGCATGCTTCACATCTATTTTTAAGTCATTTTTAGTCATTCTCAGTCAAGCCTACCCATCCATCTCTCTCTACAGTACGTCTCTAAAGGCTTCCCACCTCATCCACTCCATACGTCTTCTCTTTCTGATCACTTGCATGTTAACTTTATGCCATTTCTTTTCCTTCCTCAATTCTTTAAATATTCCCCTTCTGTCTCTCTCTGAGGCCTTCTTTATTTATCCCTTCTATGTATGTAAATGCAAAGCGGAGAGGCTAAATCTGGCGCATGCACAAAATCCCTTTAAATGAATCACTCCTGCTTTGTGAGTTTGCTGTTTGTACACCCATTGCTGCTAGTGCTGGAGCCCGCCCCCTTCCCTCCCTTTCGTTTTGCCTCCTCACTTCATTACGATTCACACTCCGGCTTTTAAGTGGAAATGCCACCCACACACCCTTCAGTCAGAGCATGTCAATAGATTGTTCTCCATATGGTTCGATTAAATGAGCTTGGCTAAAAATAGAACTTTTGACATTTATTTAAACTTTCAAAATGAGGACAGGAAGGGATGAGGCATGAAATAAAAAAAAAGAAAGAAAACAAGTTGCTTGTGATATTTTCAAAGCACAAACAGGGACTTTATGAGGTTGTTTTTGGCTTGTAGCAGTGTTGTTTGATTTTGCTCATACACACATACACACACACACACACTCACTCACGTAGTCTGTAACCTATTCTAAAATTGAAAAAAAAATCCTCTATTTTCCTGACTGCTAAAAACTTGACATCTCTACATTCAGTGTCTACATCCTCAGTGAAGTACAGGGACATGGCAACCTACATTTTTGTGTCTTTGGGCTCTTGGCTCTCTCCCAACACCGACATTACCTTCTGTTTCAGTTCTCAAAGGCCTGCATGCAGGAGGATGGGCTGTTTCTGTAATCACACTGTGCTCTTTTAGAGAGGGAGGGAGAGACAGAGAGAGACATGTGCCCCCATATTTATAAGAAGCTCTTAGCAGGCTATGAAAGCCTTTCCCTTTCTTCTGCATTAGTGAAAAGAAAGTAAAACCTAGTGGCACACTTTTCTCTCTTATCTGCAGTATTTTGTTCCCCTGACCAGCTTTTAAGTAAAATGGGGAGATGCCTTAAAAGTGCTTAATGTTTCCTCACAAAGTTTAGCTGAGGTCTGGTCACATCAGCCCACCTCTCGGACTGAAACGATTAGCTTTGTTAATCTTTTACTGATTAAAAGGAATTCTCATGATTGACATGGCTGTAGTTGACATCAACACTTGATAATTTGAACGGTCTTTCATAGAGCTCAAAACATCAGTCTTTGAATTTAAATATAATAATGGGCATCATTATGCATCATTATTACAGACAAATGCTGCTTCTCAGCTACAACGCACAGTGGAGGATTTTAAATTATTGAACATGTTTTTCCCCTTTCTTGTCCCCCATTCACCTTTTTAGAAAAAAAAATCAAAACTTGCTTGCGAAAGATAATTCTTCATCAATACATCTTCAAGTCTTTCCAGTTGCTTGAGAAATACCAAAAAAACCTACCATTTGATATTTGTCAGGGGAATGTCACACTGAATACATCCTTCATTTTATTTTCCTCCTGAGCACAATTTTCATTGATTGTTTGTACAAATGATCCAGTTTTTTTTTATAGTTTTGTTAGTTCCTGTTTTCTAATATTTATTAATGTCCGACATCGAATGCCTGTCTCAAGCTTGATGAAGGTTGGTAGACTGTAAACAGCAGGGACGGTGATGGGAATAAGTCCAGGAATTGATTGTTCTATCACAGACAAAGGCTGATATGTGATATATTTTATGTATAAGTGTTCAAATCAAACCAAAAGAAAAACCTTCACCCACCCTCCAAATTGAATCGCACTGACTCTGTACTGTGTCATATCAGATTTAACTCAGAAAAATGCTGAGTTGCGTATAGCCCTGGTTAAATAGAGTGGTTTTCATTGTGGCCTGAAGAAAGATCAGCATTACGATTAACAGTACTGCAACACAGCTGAGGCCAGTGTGGCTGCTACTTTAAACACGATTCATTATCTATAGCTCCCACAGAAAACAAGTGTGTATAAGGAGTGAGGGAGTTAGAGACAGAGGTGTGTGGTGTGTGTGGGCAAGGCAAAGTGGTTTCTGTGCTTGTCAAGAGAAAGATCAAAGAAGCCAGGTCCCTCATAGTGCCCAGTGTATATCAGGCCTAATCAGCACAGAGCAAAGCTTTCATTGCTGCTCCTGCTGCTGTCAGACTGAGCTCCCCTCAATCCATAACCAGTGCAATCAAGCAAGCGCCAGCTGCAGGCTTAATACAACACCAAGCAAACCAAACATCTCCAAACAACTCATCTACCTCATTTCCAGCCGCAGCAGACTGCTGCTTTCAGAAACAAAGCTCTGACCAAACCACTGTTCACTACCTGCACGGCACGACTGACAGACTATGTGAGTGACTAGCTAGTGAACACGGTGGAGCATTTAGCAGCTACAGAGAAAACGGAGTGAATATGAATCTAAGTGAAGTAATATCTGCTTCTAATTTGTGATGCTAACGACACTGAAACTGATCCATTTCAATTAAACAATAGGGCTGGGTATTGTTTAAAATTTTCCATAGTGCCAATACTATACCTGAATTCCTGCACCAATACCAGTCGATCAGTACACGGTATAATAATGCTAATATTCCTCCAGCCCAGGAAAGCCTTTGGGGAGTTAATATTGATCTTTTACTGATGACACTTGAGGCACAAGGGACAATGTAAATCATTTGACAGTTTACTTTATTCTAAACGTTTGTGGATCCAGTTTTCTTGTGACTGTACTAGGAAGGAGAGAGCTGGATAAAGGTGTTGCCACTCACCCCTGCTGCTAATAATGTCTCAGTGGTCACTTGTGGTATTGCAATGAAAAAAATCCTCTGCGGCCCAAAAATAATTTTTCCATGGAGTCCAGTATCGTGTCCCTGTGGTTTTTACAACACCTTTGATTTCCTCTTGTTATGGAATCTTTGTGTTTTCTGACTATCAATGAATTTGTGTCAAGTTTCATAATTGTTTCCTTTAAAAACAATAGCCAACTGCTATTTTTAACATTTTTTTAAACATATTTTTTTATAAATATCGCAATAATATAGTCATCGTGAATTCTTCCTAGAGTATATACAGTAAAAGCACATAGAACCCAAGCTAACGCAGTAGCCACTAGCTACCTCTCCCTGTTGTGCACCTTTACTGTAAAGATTTCCCTCTTAGTGATGCATTAGCAGTGTAGCAGCGATAGATAACTGTAAGTATGTGAAAAGTTGAACTGCTCTGGTGGATACATCTGTCCCACTCCACGCTAATGTGTTTGATAGTGTGACTCATGTGTATCGGACGATAAAGTAAGACAACCTAAGCGCAGAGTGGAGCAATGAAACACATCAGGGACTAAAGATAGCGTGATAGAGGATGTGAAAAGTGAGATGTAAAGTGAGTGTGACCAATGTGTGTGTGTGTGTGTGTGTGTGTGTGTGTGTGTGTGTGTGTGTGTGTGTGTGTGTGTGTGTGTGTGTGTGTGTGTGTTTTATGTGCACGCACAATACATGTACATACAGTGTGCATGCCTGCGCGTGGTAGTGATATGTTTGCATGTGTCAGACTTACAGTCTATTTTTGGGTGTGGGTCTCAGGGGGGTTGAACGTGCAGGAGCGGGTGCTTAGCAGGCTGAAGGTCAGACATGATGCAGTGCAGAGTGAGTGAGTGCCGCTGGCCTCCCGCTCCTGCTGCGGCCTGGATATTATTCTGGTACGCTGACCGGGGTTGTCTCACCGACCTGGTGTGCTTGTTTTGCCTTTATTTATCCAGCAGAAGAAAGCAGAAAGCAATTTAAGACAATCAGAGAGCAGTGGAAAAGCACAGTTTGGATGAATTGAGCTGTTGTGGCACTCAGGGGGGCAAAAATATTTTCCACATTTGCCATAATGACTGTGCTTTCTTTTGCAATGGCAGTTTTCCACTTTTCTCCCTTGCATTTTGATGACTATCTCAAGTTGAAGTCAGCTGCTATGTTTTCCAGTAAATCTGAGGCCACAGAAACAACCAGGCAAGCTAATACAGTGTTTATTAATAGGCTACTGTGTGTGCCACAATGGCAGAATAGTTAGACAGGGAGGGGATACGTTGACAGGAAAGGCCCTGCACAGCCATTGTTAACCCTCTTAGGTGATTTTAATTATTTTGGCAGATTAGTCATTTTTGTCTGTGCTGTGTGACTGTGTACAGGCTGTTCTTGATTGACACGTGGCTGTGTCGCACCTGTTACTC